AATTTTATAATAGAAACAAAGAAAAACTTTTTTAAAAAATTTTTTGCTCTTTTTTGTTTATAGCACAAAAAATAAACACCCAGCAGCGAGTAAATACCACCAAAAGAAAGCTCTATTTGTGTGAAAAAAAATGCTAAACACATTTCATATGAGTACAGTGTTTCATGATCGCGCAACTGTCATTCAAAATGCGACAGAGCTGAAAGCTGAAAATTGGCCTGGGAAGGGGGTATAAGTGCCTGGTAGGCAAGTGGTTAAGCGCAGTGACAAGACCCTTACTGACAAATATCTGTGGCATCAGCTGTATCTCTTAAAACTAAAGTACATGTGTCATGACAGAAATATGTGGTCTGCCATCGTATGGTTCCTTCTAAAAGTTTGAGTTGGCTGGTTCTGTTTGGTTTCAATACTTCTGAGTCATGGGTACAGTTATTGACACATCAGGTCATTTTATCCAATAACCCTTTTAGCGGCACATGTAAAGCCCCAATATCAATCAATATTATTTATATATTATCTACAATCTTGTCTCACAAGGACAAGCAGTTGTAATGGGAACCAAAACATTCAATGTCCCTCAAGTCAATCAGTATTAATAATGATGTTGATTGATATTCTTATGATTAGGTTAAAAAACTACTAGTTGCCTTCTAAGCCAACATTTTTACATTATTTTTTAATTATTTATATATATATATATATATATATATATATATATATATATATATATGGTTTCTCACCTTTCATCAGCACTCAGAGGATACTCCTCCCCACCCCCATGTGGTGGTGGATGTGCTGGTGGTGGAGGCAGCAGATCAGCCCAGTTCATTCCAGCTTGTTTGGAAACTTTGGGTGCACGCGTTCCTTTTTTATGACCTTGGCTCCCTGCAACAAAAAGGACACTAAGTACATAATGCAAGCCTGGTGCTAGCAAAATTGTAAAGTAATTGTTACTTTGATACTCTTATAAATCTTTGGGAAAAATAATATAGGACATAAATTACCCAGAAACATATTTATTAAGTTAATAGCTAATAAATACCTAAAATTCCATAAAGTCACAAATGAATTTTACTAGCAACACCATTTAGAGTGATCTTCCTCCAACTATTAATTGCATTATAGATTATCATCTAAAACAAATGAGCTGTAGACATATTTTCTCAAGTGCTTTATTTTACTATTTAATTTCTGCAGCCCAAAATACAATCTGATCCTGATATGATCTATTAACGTTTCACTGTTGCATTAAGTCACTGAGTATACATCATTTGTACTTGTCCAAAAAATTGTTTTAGGCAAAATTAAATTATTTTTTTCACTTAGGAAAGCAGCGCCAGACAAGCATTTAATTGTTGCTGCAAATGGGAAAATCTATTCCTTGCTAAAGTAACAATTTCATTATAAGAAGTGCACAGAGCAATGAAGTAACAAGTGGGGCACTACCATGGATATGGAGGGAGGTGCATTCACTTACAAAACTGGGTGATACGTAAAGTGTTTGAACATGCAAGGCAAGGTAAAAGATTCACTTTAATGGCAACCCCAATAGAAGCATTCCCTTTGCTCTCCTGCTGCTGTTTTGCTGTTGGGAGCAAAAAAGAATTACCTGGTGCTTTCAGGTACAAGAAAGCATGTGACTCACACTCACTTTCCTCCCTTCCACATAACAGTTCTTGTGCCTGGTGAATGGACCTCCTAGGAAACCAGGACTGTCACATGGGGGTGGGAAGAGAGTCATCAGAACTGTATAATAAAGAAGGGTACATTTAGGCAGATAGTTTATGGGATGCAAGGATATTCCCAATTTCTTGAAGAATTATCTGGACCTAATTTATCAGTATGTCCTGATCATCCGCCAATCATTTTGATTCTTCTCACATTCCAAAACCTGAATTTGAAGAATTAAACTTAATAGCAAATTTGTTTCTGTTGGCCAACAGGAGCAATACTTATATCACATACTCAGATAACCATGGCCTGTTAATATAAAAAACCCATCATCCACCAAGATAATCACAATTATGTACTGTCAGTTACTCATCTACCATGAACTGACAAATGTTTTTTTTTTTATGATGATCACTGTGAAGAAAGTCAGTTTATTTCATAATGCATAACTTGTAAAACATCTAAATAACTACCTGAAGTGCTGCTTCCTCGATCTGAACTGTTGTATGATCCTCCAGCATTCTGATCATGAGCTTGGTTGTAGGGAATAGTAGATGGCATAGTATCTGTGACCCGATAATCTAAAAAAAGAGGCAAACAAATGACGAAAACCACATTAACAAATAAAAATGCTATTTTAATTTGTCTTCAACTAAAATGTATCAAACAAGTGGAAAGTGAGGTTATCACTCACAGAACAAAGCCTGTCTAGATGTCATAAAAAAAAGAGGGATGAAATGCTGATTAGTCAAAAAATAAATTACAATCCCAACATTTTTTTCTACTGTCTTTAAGCTAGTTTGCTCTACCATTTGGAGGTATTGTGTGGTCTACACAGTCACCATGAAGCATCCTGATTGCAGAAAAGGGCATGGATTCAGCTAATGTGGATTTTGGGACTGTGGGACTGTACTGTATACCACTCATGTGTTCCTTGTTCAAAGCATTAGAACATCATAGTTCCCAAAACAAAGAGGTCCGCCTGGTTTTGGCTGGGTGGGCCAATGAATACCTCAGTCCCTGTCAGGAGCCTTGCACCCTGGGGAATCAGGGAAAGGGTCCCTTCTCTTTGGAGGAGGACTATGTGTACACCCTGTGTACTTTTTTTGTGTTTTCACTTTTGTGAGTACACCTTTTTATGAACTGGATGTTAAGTTTTCGAGTGTGTTTAGCTACACAGTGGGACTTTAAAAAAGAAAAAAAATAGAACATTATGGTTAGAGATGAGCGAAGAAATTAAAAATTCGATTCGACTGATTCGGCGAATTCGTGGACAATATTCGATTCGAGTCGAATAAATTCGCTGTGAATTTAACTTAAAAAAGGGTGTTTCTAGGCTTCAGAGAGACTTAATATTAGTGCAGAACACTGTACCTTTAATTTAAATGCCCTTGGAGTCTGCTGGGGAAGAGAAATAATACTGTCACTCAGTATGACATGCAGATGAGTGCCGTCGATCTTAGAATCACCGCACACTTCACTCATTTGGCCAGTCACGGGGCCAAAACCAGTGTTTGGAGCCACAGTGTGGCGGTGGAGGCAGCAGCAATGGGAGGCCATACAGCAACCTATGACAAAATGGAAACCAGCAGGAGTGTGAGGAGACCTCAAAGTGGCACATGGCAGAGTGGGAGCAATGGGAGGCGGTACAGGGACCCAGGTCACACTGTGGGCTCAGCAGCAGCGTGACCAGGCGGTACGGGGCCCATGGCCGATTTGGGGCCTGGTGGCACCTATGGAAGGCCTGTAATCTGCCAGCAACCTATGACAAAATGGACAACCGCAGGAGTGTGAGGAGATTTCAAAGTGGCACATGGCAGAGTGGAAGCAATGGGAGGCCGTACAGGGACCCAGGTCACACTGTGGGCTCAGCAGCAGCGTGACCAGGCGGTACGGGGGCCCATGGCCGATTTGGGGCCTGGCGGCACCTATGGGAGGCCTGTAATCTGCCAGCACCCTATGACAAAATGGAACCCTGGGCTGGGGCAGGCAGAACCGCCGTATCTTTATCACGGTTTTCCCAGGCCACTGAATGGCGACGCTGCATATGCTGACGCAACGCTGTAGTCCCAACATGGGCCCCCTGGCCACGCTTGACTTTCTGGCCACATAGTCGACATACGGCTACGTTTACTTCCTCGGGCGGCTTGACGAAAAATTGCCACACCGCAGAGTAGGAAACTTTGCCTCCGCTACTCCTCACTGGCTGACTGCTACTTCCTCCGTGCACACCGGCACCACTACTGGCCGTGGTGGTAGGCTGCAGTGGAGCTGGTGCTCTACTCCGTGGCCGTTTGCCTCCACTGACACTGCTGCGACCCTGCTGCCTCCTGGCAGCAGCAATGGGAGGCCGTACAGGGACCCATGAGAGACTCTGGACTTGGCAGCAGCATGAGGAGGCGGTATATAGGGGCCCATGGCAGATTAGGGGCCTGGCAGCAGCTATAGGAGGCCCGTAATCTGCCAGCACCCTATGTCAAAAATTCAAACACACCAGCAGTGTGAGGAGACCTGAAAGTGGCACATGGCAGAGTGTGGCGATGGAGACAGCAGCAATGGGAGGCCGTACAGGGACCCATGAGAGACTCTGGACCTGGCAGCAGCATGAGGAGGCGGTATATAGGGGCCCATGGCAGATTAGGGGCCTGGCAGCAGCTATAGGAGGCCCGTAATCTGCCAGCACCCTATGTCAAAAAATTCAACACACCAGCAGTGTGTGAGGAGACCTGAAAGTGGCACATGGCAGAGTGTGGCGATGGAGACAGCAGCAATGGGAGGCCGTATAGGGACCCATGAGAGACTCTGGACTTGGCAGCAGCATGAGGAGGCGGTATATAGGGGCCCATGGCAGATTAGGGGCCTGGCAGCAGCTATGGGAGGCCCGTAATCTGCCAGCACCCTATGTCAAAAAATTGAAAACACAAGCAGTGTGAAGAGACCTGAATGTGGCACATGGCAGAGTGTGGCGATGGAGACAGCAGCAATGGGAGGCCGTACAGGGACCCATGAGAGACTCTGGACCTGGCAGCAGCATGAGGAGGCGGTATATAGGGGCCTATGGCAGATTAGGGGCCTGGCAGCAGCTATAGGAGGCCCGTAATCTGCTAGCACCCTATGTCCAAAAATTCTACACACCAGCAGTGTGAGGAGACCTGAAAGTGGCACATGGCAGAGTGTGGAGATGGAGACAGCAGCAATGGGAGGCCGTACAGGGACCCATGAGAGACTCTGGACCTGGCAGCAGCATGAGGAGGCGGTATATAGGGGCCCATGGCAGATTAGGGGCCTGGCAGCAGCTATGGGAGGCCCGTAATCTGCCAGCACCCTATGTCAAAAAATTCAACACACCAGCAGTGTGAGGAGACCTGAAAGTGGCACATGGCATGAGAGACTGTGGACCTGGCAGCAGCATGAGGAGGCGGTATAGGGGCCCATGGCAGATTAGGGGCCTGGCAGCAGCTATGGGAGGCCCGTAATCTGCCAGCACCCTATGTCAAAAAATTCAACACACCAGCAGTGTGTGAGGAGACCTGAAAGTGGCACATGGCAGAGTGTGGCGATGGAGACAGCAGCAATGGGAGGCCGTACAGGGACCCATGAGAGACTCTGGACTTGGCAGCAGCATGAGGAGGCGGTATATAGGGGCCCATGGCAGATTAGGGGCCTGGCAGCAGCTATGGGAGGCCCGTAATCTGCCAGCACCCTATGTCAAAAAATTCAACACACCAGCAGTGTGAGGAGACCTGAAAGTGGCACATGGCATGAGAGACTGTGGACCTGGCAGCAGCATGAGGAGGCGGTATAGGGGCCCATGGCAGATTAGGGGCCTGGCAGCAGCTATGGGAGGCCCGTAATCTGCCAGCACCCTATGTCAAAAAATTCAACACACCAGCAGTGTGTGAGGAGACCTGAAAGTGGCACATGGCAGAGTGTGGCGATGGAGACAACCCACCGACTGTTTTGCTCGCTGCCAAGCTGCCACCTCTTCTCCTGATGATGCGGAAGCAATAGCCTGATGACGACGAGGCTGCCAAGTGCGATCAGCCTCATCATCATCAATTAGGGTCTCCGCCTCACTACTAGCCCCCTCGGCTGCGTGTGGGTCAGGAGACAGACCTGTCTCTACACCGGCTACCGAGCCACTCTCCTCGCCACTACTTCTTCGCCTGGCTGCTGAAGAGGCGGATGTCTCCCCCCGTTCCTGACCGCCCTCTGTTAGCTCTTCCTCACTGTACTGGATGACACCGGGAGCACTAGCCTCTGGCTGCGAATAGTGCTGCCTCGACCCCTTCCTCTGCTGCCACGTCTGCTCGCTCCTAAAACATTGCCTCCTCTGCCACTCCTCTGCATGTTGTCTGACATACTCTTTAATTAAACGATTCTGTGTCCCTGAGTAACAATTCTGTGGCCCTAAGTAACGGTTCTGTGGCCCTCAGTAACAGTTCTGTGTCCCTGAGTAACAATTCTGTGTCTGTGCGAGTAACAATTCTGTGGCCCTAAGTAACAGTTCTGTGGCCCTCAGTAACAATTCTGTGGCCCTAAGTAACGGTTCTGTGGCCCTCAGTAACAATTCTGTGTCCCTGTGTAACAATTCTGTGTCTGTGCGAGTAACAATTCTGTGGCCCTAAGTAACAGTTCTGTGCCCTGAGTAACAATTCTGTGTCCTGCGAGTAACAATTCTGTGTGTGTGCCCTAAGTAACAATTCTGTGGCCCTCAGTAACAATTCTGTGCCCCTGAGTAACAATTCTGTGGCCCTAAGTAACGGTTCTGTGGCCCTCAGTAACAATTCTGTGTCCCTGAGTAACAATTCTGTGTCTGTGCGAGTAACAATTCTGTGGCCCTAAGTAACAGTTCTGTGGCCCTCAGTAACAGTTCTGTGTCCCTGAGTAACAATTCTGTGTCTGTGCGAGTAACAATTCTGTGGCCCTAAGTAACAGTTCTGTGGCCCTCAGTAACAGTTCTGTGTCCCTGAGTAACAATTCTGTGTCTGTGCGAGTAACAATTCTGTGCCCTAAGTAACAGTTCTGTGGCCCTCAGTAACAATTCTGTGGCCCTCAGTAACAATTCTGTGGCCCTAAGTAACGGTTCTGTGGCCCTCAGTAACAATTCTGTGTCCCTGTGTAACAATTCTGTGTCTGTGCGAGTAACAATTCTGTGGCCCTAAGTAACAGTTCTGTGGCCCTCAGTAACAGTTCTGTGTCCCTGAGTAACAATTCTGTGTCTGTGCGAGTAACAATTCTGTGGCCCTAAGTAACAGTTCTGTGGCCCTCAGTAACAATTCTGTGTCCCTGAGTAACAATTCTGTGGCCCTAAGTAACGGTTCTGTGGCCCTCAGTAACAATTCTGTGTCCCTGTGTAACAATTCTGTGTCTGTGCGAGTAACAATTCTGTGGCCCTAAGTAACGGTTCTGTGGCCCAGTAACAGTTCTGTGTCCCTGAGTAACAATTCTGTGTCTGTGCGAGTAACAATTCTGTGGCCCTAAGTAACAGTTCTGTGGCCCTCAGTAACAGTTCTGTGTCCCTGAGTAACAATTCTGTGTCTGTGCGAGTAACAATTCTGTGGCCCTAAGTAACAGTTCTGTGGCCCTCAGTAACAATTCTGTGGCCCTCAGTAACAAGTGGCCCTAAGTAACGGTTCTGTGGCCCTCAGTAACAATTCTGTGTCCCTGTGTAACAATTCTGTGTCTGTGCGAGTAACAATTCTGTGGCCCTAACAAGTAACAGTTCTGTGTCCCTCAGAGTAACAATTCTGTGTCTGTGCGAGTAACAATTCTGTGGCCCTAAGTAACAGTTCTGTGGCCCTCAGTAACAATTCTGTGTCCCTGAGTAACAATTCTGTGGCCCTAAGTAACGGTTCTGTGGCCCTCAGTAACAATTCTGTGTCCCTGTGTAACAATTCTGTGTCTGTGCGAGTAACAATTCTGTGGCCCTAAGTAACGGTTCTGTGGCCCTCAGTAACAATTCTGTGTCCCTGAGTAACAATTCTGTGTCTGTGCGAGTAACAATTCTGTGGCCCTAAGTAACAGTTCTGTGGCCCTCAGTAACATCTTCTGTGTCTGTCCCTGAGTAACAATTCTGTGGCCCTAACTAAAGTTTCTGTGGCCCTAAGTAACAGTTCTGTGGCCCTCAGTAACAATTCTGTGTCTGTCCCTGAGTAACAATTCTGTGGCCCTAACTAAAGTTTCTGTGGCCCTAAGTAACAATTCTCTGGCACTCAGTAACAATTCTGTCTGTCCCTGAGTAACAATTCTGTGGCCCTAATAACGTTTCTGTGGCCCTAAGTAACAGTTCTGTGGCCCTCAGTAACAATTCTGTGTCTGTCCCTGAGTAACAATTCTGTGGCCCTAACTAAAGTTTCTGTGGCCCTAAGTAACAATTCTCTGGCACTCAGTAACAATTCTGTCTGTCCCTGAGTAACAATTCTGTGGCCCTAATAACGTTTCTGTGGCCCTAAGTAACAATTCTCTGGCACTCAGTAACAATTCTGTCTGTCCCTGAGTAAGAATTCTGTGGCCCTAACTAGCGTTTCTTTGTCCCTAAGTAACGATTCTTCTGTGGCCCTCACTAACAATTCTGTGTCCCTGAGTAATGGTTCTCTGTCCCTAAGTAACGTTTCTCTGTCCCCAAGTATCGTTTCTGTGGCCCTAACTCTGTCCCTAATACAGAGCGGTCTGCCTCTGTTCAATGACTGCAGGCAAATGAAGAATTCCAAAATGGCCGCTATTTATAGCTCGACCATTACACAGTGCTGGCTGGCTGGCTGCTGATTGGCTGATGCGATCACATGTCATTGAGGAATGCATTATGGGTCAGCGCGCCTTGTCTGCGCGCCTTCCCAGACATCCCCGCTCCGTCGCCGCACATGTCCGCCGCCATTTTCGGAAAAATTTCGTAACCAATTACTGATGATTGATTGTTTATACAAATAAGTTTTCAAGACTGAAATAGAAATAATTATGCTGTCCTGAAAAAAGTACCACTTAAACTGGTTGTAAAAGCTTGAGTTCCTCCAGGACCCCCCCCCCCCCATTACTTACCTGAGCCCCATCACAATCAAGCACTTTGCACGAGACCCTTGGTTCTCTTGGGACTTTCCCTCCTTATAGCCAGTGAGCCAATGAGGAGACAGAGGAGGCAGGGCCAAATCACGCTCTGTGTCTGAATGGACATGCAAAGCGGCGGCTCGAGAGCGAGCCTTCTTGGGTGCCCTCATAACAAGCTACTTCTTCTTTATAAAATAGGGGAAGGGAGTTTTGTAGTCCATTGAGATTGAGATAACTTGGAACAACATAACTGATATTCATGCAGCAGGGGAAGTTATCAGTTCATAAGGTTTTTGACAAATCAGCAGGTATTTTATTTGCACTTATCAAACAGAATTGAGATGGATAGAGGAATCCTCCCTACTAAGACACGGTCGTTATTTACTAAAACTGCAGGGTGAAAAATCTGGTGCAGTTCTGCTCGGACACCAATCGGCTTCCAGGTTTTATTGTCAAAGCTTTACTGAACAAGCTGAAGTTAGAAGCTGATCGGTTGCTATACACAGCTGCACTAGATTGTGAATGAACCAGTTTTAGTAAAACTCCCCCAATTGAATTTTGACAGCAGGGACTCTCTGCTGTCAACATACACTGATCAATGGCTGCAGCCACTGATTTAGAAAAATATTCCAACAAGTGGTTCAGTAGAATTTGATAGCTCATCTTCTGTTGGGAGGGTGCGGCCACAGATGGATCAAAATTTCGATCCATCTATGGCCACATTTGGATTTATATACGCTGTAGGTAAAATGTCCGCTGGAACTTGATTGATGGTTAATCCAATTTCCTTTTCATACATAAACCTTCAGATTTATAAATACAACTACCCAAGCAATAGTAAGAGCCACTTGTTGTCAAATAAGTTAATTTAATTTATTTTACTTCAGGATATTAGCATGCATTTTACTTTCTAGAGAATTATTGTAGCTATTCATTTTTTTTCTAGTAAAAAATAAAGTCTTACAATAATATTTTCATTAAAAAAATAACAAGAATATGCAGACATAAAAAACTCAATGTGATTTGCTATCGTCTGCAGGCTAATCGGCTGAAAGAGCTTTAGGCCTAATCCCAGTCATTGGATAGGTCTGTAACTTAATATTTTCTTTATGACTCATCCGCATTAGTGTATAGCGAGTCCACTCTCCTACTGTGACTGTTGTGATGGATAGATGTGTAAAAATAGCTGTATTTTTATTAAGCATAAAAGGTAAAGATCTTAGCTTCCCTTGTCTAGAATGACTTCCATTGAGGTGTCACAGGAAGAAAACAGGGATTTATTGGTCATTAATTAGAGATTCAAGGAACAAAGGAGCAATGAAAACCGCCAGAAGTTTATTTGACATGGAGTCATAAGTGTATTGTTGTCAAGGCGCTACATCCTGCAGTTATTAATGTTAGACTCATGCAGGGTCTCTGTTTACATTTGATGATTAAGAAGTGGAAGAAAAGTCGGGCTCTTTGATTTCAGCGATAATAACCTCACACACAAGGAACACAAGATATCACAGTATAGAAATGGAATACCTTTATTTCCTGTTCAGTTATTGTCTATAGCAGCCCTTCTCAACCTTTTAACATGGGGGAACCTTGAAATAACTTTCTGGGTTCAGGGAACCCCTGCTAATAAGTACTATATCTACAGCTCACAGTACATTAGTGTGATGCTTACTAGGAAGAATGCTTCTTACAATTGTGGTCACTGTGAAGAATTTCCACCTTAGAGAGAGCTAAAAAAGATCATTGTTTTCAGTGCTTACACATCAGACATTGTTCATTGCTCATGGAACCCCTAGAA